CCCCCCCCCCCTCACTCGCGCCAAAAAAAATTGCTCGGGTTTCGGTCAGGTTATGATAAGAAAAAATTTAAGTATTGCAGGGTTTTTTTAAATGATCTACTTGATTCAGATATGGCAATATAAGAAATTATCACTTCAATGTACCTACTATTGGATATACGACTAGAGTTGAAGTACCCTAAGAAATATGTAGAATGTGCATCAATTTATGACGTGTTTGCTTCAACACTTTCAACTTTCTGGACACCCGTGTATTTTTTAATTATTTTGTAACTAATGAGATTTTCAAAGGATGGTGAAATTGTTAGGCTGATTGTGAGTTTCGAACTAATTTTTGCATCCGAAAACTTTCTGCGCTCCTGACCATATGAGGACGCTGACTCTCCCTTAACTTCACCAAAACAAGGGATTCTAGGGAGGCCCTATAAGCAATATTTTGTGACCTCTTTCAATTTTTGTAAAGAAATATCGTAAAACAATCTTGGAACCTCTCATGATTTTTTCCCCAAGAGAACCTTCTCAACGCCAAGACGCTTAAACAGGACGAGGAAAAGTAGGTACAGTATTCACTGATTAGGTTGCATAAATATTGATTGGATTAACGATTTAAGAATCAGCATGCACTACAACATTCAGGGATTTTTAGAGGGAACATGATGACGATTGGACCATTATAATGACTCCTCCTTACGAGGCCAACATAGAAATTCAGTGGATTACGTAAAAAAGGTGTTTTCTTTAATTTTTGTCAATTTGTATAAAATTACGTAAAATATCTAAATTTTGTGTCATTCTATGAGTTTGATTGAACTGTATCTGACAGTGATACTCTACATATGAATATATGCGAATTCAAAATCTGGTACGCGCCATTAGGGGTTGCTTGTATTATGCCAAAAAATTCCAGTGGTCTGAGATTAACAACTCTTGACGTGGAAATATAACAAAAATGTAAACGTTTCCCAATAAAAATTGCATGAATGATTTTTTTACAGAAAAAGGGACATTCAGGTAAAATCTGAGCATACACACATACATAAGAGTCGCTCTCACAGCGCTATCTGGCGCTCTGCGACGCCTAATCGCCACAAAACTCAGTCCTCCTCACAGGTCATCAGGGAGTTGGCACTCCCTCATCTCATCCATAACCCCCTGTCGCCAATCTTTCTTCGTCTCCTCCCAGGAGGAACCCAATCAAGCATCTTTTTTGGCAGCCTCTCTTCCGTCATCCTATTGACATGACCGTATCAGACAAGCTGCTTGGTCATGACGTCGAACACGATGTCATTTTCGACTTCCATTATCTGACACGTAAAATCACTTCCAGATCTGAGCAACACGTAATATTTTCGCTCACCAGGTGTTGAATATCTTTCCTTAAATGTCTCATTTATTTAGATTCCGGAAAAAACAACTTCTTAAGATAGCAGTCAGTGAGGTCCAAAAAACAATTACAGATTGAGAAAGAGGAAGCTCAACCGATTTCGAGGTATTTTCATTTTGCTATATAGGAATAATAGTGGGGAAGGGGCATGGGGGAGAGAGCCTGTAAAGAAAGAATCAGAAACGTATTTCTAACCGGCCGGAATCTGGAGCTAAAGATCCGCCTCTGGATCCGGACTAAAGATCCGCCTGTGGATCCGGAAGATTACACGGATTGCGGTGCACCCTTGAACAATGCTGCCAAGACTCATGTTACCCACCTTTATGTTATCCGGAATCGCGCATATTTTGTGTCTCACGTGGCACCTTCGTTTAACGAAAAAGGTAGTTCCGGACAGCGGTGCCGATCATGATAAAATTAGAGGTTGAAATGTGATCACGGATTTTCAGTGGGTGGTTTTTTTTCTTCGAATCGAGTGTTCGGCGAATCTTTTGGCTACCAGTGCACGTCTTTTTTATTTTTTGTTTAATGCCAGTAGGTAGAATTAAAAAGAAGTAAAACATGTTTAAACCCTTTTGAAACACAATGGGCCATATGTCTAGACAAAGGTATGAATTAAAGCACAACGCTTTACATGAATTATTCTCTTCAAAATTTTACGAGAAAAACAAATCATAAGACGGGAAGATTGAAAATCAACCCTTGAACAAGATATACGTTCTTTCTATCAACATTGGTGAAATAAAAATGACGTCATTTGTAGGTATAATCGAACTTCCCGTCCAGATCTGTGTAAAAGAGACTTATTTAGGAGTATATTTATGTCTTAGGGTACCCACATGTTTGATCTCGTTTATGAGCAGTTCTTTGGTTTCAAAACTTCGCGTAGTGTTAATTGTTTTTTATGTAAAATTTTGAAGAGAAAACATGTGACGTTTTCTTCTACTTCAGATCTTGTCTAGTGGTTTATTGTACGGCCTTTGAGATTGTTTTATCGGCAAAAATGTCAGCTGCACACCATGTCGGCGGGCCTGGGTTCCAAGGTTCGATCAGTGCCTGTTCCCCTAGCTAATTTGGTGACATATCTTACAAAAATGTGGCTATAATTTCTGAAAATTGTAGAAAAAGAGAAAAGTCATCAGTTAACAATGTAATGAGCATGCCAAATCGTGTCCTTAAGTTTGGTGTCATGCTGCGTTAAAACTTTAGGAGATTAATCGTTGCTTCTAAAAGTTGCAAACTAGGTAGGTACATTTCCACTGTTACCGTGTTCTTACTGCGTGGAGTTGAAGATACTTGAAAAGTGACTCGAGAATCCGGAGGTTTTTTTTTACATGTAACCGGAAAATCGCGCGGCGTAGAAATGCGAATTTGTCACCAAATCCCACATCAAAGTGAAGATGGCATGTTTTCATCCTATACCCCTCATTAAAAGTTAGTATTTTATGTTGTTGGGAAAATAGGCCTAGTAGATGGTATAACCCCACCAACGAATTCCTCGAAAGTAAGATTTGCGGTTTTGGACGGCGCGTCTGTTTGTGACTGCATAATATACGTGTTTGCACGAATTATCATGCGCGTTTTCACTATGCCTATACCTGCAGCATAAAACCCTCATAATTAAAGTAACAAAAGATAGACCATGAAGGAGTAAAATGGCACCCAACTACGATGGAATCATTAAAAAAGTTTGAAACCTACTCTTTAGGGAGCAGTTTGCACAGTTTGGAACACGCTTTTACGGATTTCGCGCGGGTAGGCTGTAAGGGCAGTGTCCGTCACCACACTTGGAAACAAGGAACGGCAATTTCCGGTCAACGAAAACTGACAATTCCAAACATAACAAGTTGGTTTTTGCAATCGCTAGCGATAGCAATATTCGTCATGGGAACTTTTGCTTCTGGGATATGAAAATTTTAAGGTACAGTTCGTTTGTAGTATCTTCAGAATTGGAGGGGCTATGTAATTTTGTGTCGACATCTCTTTTTTAACATTTTCAATTTTTTTTCTTTGCATACAAGAAAGCTGTTATTTACCAATTATTTATTTTCGTTGGATTATGTATGGTTTTTGGAAGTTAACGCACTTAACTTTCAGTTTCGTTTTTTCGGCGTAAAGTATGATATTTTTACTCTACGCATATGCCCGAATACGCATCATAAAGTGACCTATGTGCTTCCTAAGTTGCCATTTTTTTCATTCAAATAGATGTAACCGAAATGTTAGATGTGTACTACCTATACTACTTTCATGTCATTGCTTTATTTATTTATTTACTTTTTGCGTAGGTATAAATTGTTATTTTTTGCTGAATTTTGGAGAAAATATTGCTTTAAGAACGTGGAATGTAAATTAATTTTATTGAAAAAAGAAAATACCATCATTAATTTGGGCGAACAGAGAAAATATAAATCAATATTTGGGTCAACATCTCCCTGATTATATAAAGGATGAATATATTAGTATTTCTGTATCAAAAAACTTAGCTTTTGTCTTCAGAGATACGATGATTCTAGTCCCAGTCAATTTGTTTTATTGAAAAAACAAAAAAACAAAAAATAAATAAAAAAAAAAACTGAAATGTTAGCATACTATTTTCATGTCTTTCTATTTGTATCAATAGGTACTTTTTGCTTAACTTACGAACGTTGAATGCAAATTAACTTTATTGAAAAAAGAAAATAACGTCATTAATTTGGGGGAACATGTGGCTGATTATATGAAGGAGGTATATTCCAGTATCTTTGTTTAACATATTAACTCACGAGAAAATGTTCGTACATTTATCATCTAATATTAATTATTTTTTGATGATTAGTCTAAAACATTCAATACAACAATTAAAAAGTAACACCCATCGTCGGGTATCGAACTCCCGATCGCCGGGTGCCCGCATCTAACCAAAAATACGAGGCGGTTTAGTCAACTAGGCTATAACGGATCTACATGTGGTAGAGGAAAAATAGCGTACAAAAGACTCGGGCAATGGGCGGGACTTATCACAAGAGACGATATTTGTTTATCCATGAATTAAATCAATCAATCGAGCTCTGATTTTGACTTCTTTGTCCGTAACGAGTCCTCCAGAACAATTTTCCACCTTGTAAGATGGTTATTATTTCTTTACTTCTATTTTTCAAATTTGAGGTGGGATAATGGCGGCTTCTCAAGAACACCGAGGTAGGCGATCTTTTGCACCAACGAACAGAAAACTGATGGCAAAAAATAACCAATCAGAACCTCCCAAAAAAAAGAATTTGCCTAAAAACGGAACTTCGTGGTTCTGCGCAGATTTACCAGTCAGACACGACATCTCAAGGTGGAAAAAAACTCGCTGAAAGCGAATTTTAGAAATCAACACAACTTGACGTAGAGACATGATTGGCTAAAAAATACAACGGTTTTTGATACATCGGAAAATCAACCAAAAATCGGAGACTGGGCGAAACGCTCAAGGTCGCAGAGGTATAGGGAATCCCATAGCGATAGCAACGGAACGATTGTAATATCATGGGGAACTCCGTTCCCATGACAAAATGCTATAAATTCTAGAACTGAGTTTGCTTACTTTGAGGAATATTTTTCTAATCTCTGAAAACTTTCATTCTGTATGAGTACCTGCTGCCTCTCTGTGGTGGGGGCTTATTGTTATTGTTTGTGTTGATGTTTGTCATGTCTCCTGTTATCGTTAAACTGGTCTCTTGCTGTGACTGGACTGGGTTTCTGTGTTTTTTCCTCGTTCAGTTATGAATAACTCGTCTGCCCTGAAGATGGAGAAAATTGTCTCCGAAACGTCGGTGTGTAAAATGTAGTGTGAAGATTGCAAAATGTAATAAAAAGGTTGGAAAGTACTCGTGATTTTTGTTCACACACACATGTATATTTATACATAGTTAGTTAGTTGGTTTTAGTTAACGACAATCAGCATCTAGGCTATTTACGTCGGGGACTAGGCAATTTTAAATTTTAAAATTTAGTTTCTTAAAGAGTTTTAAAATTTCTGTTACTACCATTGGACTATCTGAACACAAAAAGTTAGTTAGTTTTCTGGACCATGCACGATCGAGCGACAGATTCAAAAAGTTTCTCGATTTCAGGTGCGCAATGGACAAACTCATGATTCCAAAACTTGTATGTTGGGTTTTTAATCATTTCGATGAATGTTATCAATAGACCCCATGGATGAAGTCTGTTCACGATGAGCCGTTCCAGCAGTACGCGTGTGATCTGTTCCTGGATTGCTTCTGTGTTTGCTTCGTGGAATAAGTACAGCAACGTGCAGCTGAAATAGTGTGTGTGACTATTTGGATACCTCAACTGGTTTACCTGAAAGCACGCGCCCTGTCACCTTCTTGTCGGAACTTCGTAGCAACTTGCAAGTTTCAAATGAACCAGGTGTTCGCTACAACATCCCACCATTGAATGCGCTTGTTTTGTATGTTGGCACCCAAGCAATTTCGTTCATCCGTAGTAAAGGCCTCAGCCCAAACAATCCTTCTTAACAATTATCTCTGCGGTTGTCACAGCTATTTTGATAGATCGTTCTATGACCGGATGAACGAGTTCCTGCACAGCTCTTTCTACAACCACCACCAGCACCATTCCTTTCAGGCCTGGATAAGCTTGGAATGACACTAGTTGAGGATTGAAGATGCAATGTCTTTCAATGGCTGCAGATACGGAGACGCTTAAGCTGTTGTAGTTGAATCTTGGCTCGACAGGTGGAGTCATTATGGGCATCGGAGTGGGCGAGGAAACAGGCGGTGGGGCCATGAGAGGGGTGACAGAGGGGGCTCTCGCTGACTCTAGCTGTGCGTGCACAACCTCTTCTGCAGTTACTGGTGTAGGTTTTGCTGTCGGAGGAGGTATGTTGGTTTGCAACATGGTGGCCGGAGGAACAGGTGGCTCTGGTTTCTTTGCTGGGCCGGAGGACAGTTGCTGTTCGATCCGTTTGACAACCTCTGGGTCTTTCAAATAAGTTCCAGGTTTCAATTCCGCCACATCAAGGGACAGGTTTTTGCATAAGACTTCTATTTCAAACTTGAGATTCAATTTGAGGTCAGCCTCTTGGTGAAGTTCAGCTAGGACGTTCATCAGGTCTAAGGTCCACGGATTAGGAGGCTTGAAAACTTTGCTTTTACTACAAGACTCGAGGATTTTTGCTATGAACGGGACAACATAAAGCAATTCTTGCTGTCCTTTCTGGTATGCCTCGACGAGAAGAGACTTGATGTCTAGATCAACTTGAAGGATGGGTTTGTTACGACCCAGGGTCAGCATACCTAGCCAGTGGCCAAGATTTTTCAGTAGAGAACGATCTGAAAAGTTTGCAATCCCTTTGTCACTTCGCAGTAAAACTTTAATGTTTCGATGGGTTTCCTTGAGCACCATTTCATTGACTTTGGGCACCTTAAAAACATCCAAGAAATTGGAATACAGTACATGAAAGTTCAACTCAATACTAGCACGCTTCATGACTAGGTACTGTGCCATCCACGTCCAATATTCTTCCGTAAGAACATCGTGCAGTTCATCACACTTTGTCTGCAGGTTCAGCTGACTTAAGTTATTGAAAATGAGGGCTACTTTGTCTTGCATTGTTTCGGGAGGAGCAACGATTTTGTTGTCTTTTTCTGTTGCAACTAGAAGTGTGTCAATGTTGGTGGCATTTGCGATTGATGGTCTTGTTGAAAGTACTGACGTGCTGGCAGCTTTGATGGATGCAGCAGTTGTGATGGTGGCAGTGGTTGTTGTGGCTGTCATCGTTTTGAAAGATGCTGCAGCAATGGTTGTCATCAACCCGGCAAGAGGCGGCGGTATCACTGGTCCAGTTGGATGGTTCGGCGGTTCTTCCGACTGTTTGCCGTACCCAATGTACTTTATAAGATGTGGAGGAAATTCATTGAAGTGAGGTATGCTAGAAATATGCTCGCAATATTTCTGGAATTCTTTCAGACGAGACTTAAATCGGTCAAGGGCTACTATTCCGAAATAATACATCTTGCTTCCGTGCGGTTTCTTCAGAGCGTCTAAAACAACTCTAAGAGCAAGCCCAAGAGTAACGTAGTTCGCAACTAAACATTGTTCAACAATGCCTCCGAACAATTGAGCGGTGATATGAAGTTCTTTGTCCGGGTACTGCGGGAAGAATTTGTACTCTTCAAACAGGTTGCGTAACATACACGTGTAGACTTCCCTTTCTCGAGGGTTTTGAGAATCTTTGAATTTCTTGAGCATTTCGAGAACTTCTTCAATCGGAAGAGTTGGGTGCGGTCGATGATTGTAAATTCTTTGAAAATAGCTGTTGGCTTCATCTTCTATATCTTTTGAGACGACAGGACTAATTTCTGGGTATAAATTTGTTGAATCACTCAGCTTGGTTTTGTCAGTAGATTGAGTGCTGACCCTATTTATGCTTCCAACTCCTACATTGGGCAATATTGACGGTGTTGGTGTCCCTACTGGTCCAGATAGTTGTGGGTGATGGGGAAGGTACGGCGAGTTTTGAGAGGGTGGTATCAGCCGGGATGGGGATCCTGGGTCCGATACTAATGGTCCTAGTGCACCTGGCAAACTAAACGCAGTACTAGATGGAGGAGCTGAGAGGCTGATGCCTGCTAAAGAGGAACTAAGGGAGGCGATCGATTCTGGAGGGGTGGCTTGGAAAAGTGCACCCTGCGTGAAAGCTTATTGGTGAGATCTGATTACTCCAGGTGGAGGCTGCCTTGGCTTGCAGAGCAACATCGCTGAGTTGGAAACAATCTGCGTGATCGCATCGGAGAGATCTTGCGAAACAGTCCCTGCGTATTTTTGTAGTGTTGTTATAATGGTGCTTAGCGTTTCATGAGGTAACTGGGCAGACTTTGGAGCTTCATTCTTCAGAGGTCCTCCAAAAATAAAAGCTACCTTCCTCTGCAAGAAGTTCATGCAGGCTGTCAAAAATGTTTCTCCATGCTCCCTGATTTTATCATTCAACCACTTTTCTAATTTGAGATACTCCCTGCGAGATGCTAAGCAGGCCAGATCAATCACAAAAGGAAACGATTGTGCATTTAGAAGGAGAGATAATGCCTTTAAATCCTGAGCCACGTCCAATATTCTAGAAAGCCGAGCCTGATCATGATCTCCTCGTAAGCACCAATCAGCCATTGCATGCATGATGATTTGTTTTACAGACATACTCTGAGAATGCCACGCATGATGCAGGATCATCGCAGAGTTAGGATGGTTGCTGAAGAATATTGGCATGAGATTTGACAAAAGCTCTTGCCGGAACGGGGTGATGGGTAGGTTTCCATGTAGGATTGCTAGGGTTAAAATGTCTGGACAAATTTGCATCGGCATCTTGAGGAGGTCTTGCACTTGATTGAACAGACCTCTTTCAGCGAGTTGTAAAATTGTTTCTACTAAATCCACACAGCACCAAGAGGCTATTTCTTTGTTGTCGCTTTCAGGAGGAGACTTCAGAGATTCGATGGGTACTGTCCGTGACGGGTAGTCAGCAAAACAGAACACATCCGAGTTTTTAAGAATTTGTTTCAGGAGAGAAAACTGACATTCAGCATACTTCCATGGCCGATAGAACAACTCAACAGGAAACCTTTCGAGGGGGAATCCTTGAGACTGTAATCCTAACCTAAGGGCTGTAATGACGAGACTAAGGCCTCTCCTATCCTTGATGTGAAAATCTGGGTAGTCTAGTTCTCGTATAACTTCAGGCCATAGCAAATTGGGGGCAACTTCTTTGAGGGCTTGGACAAAGACATCGACATTCCATGTGTTCAGTGGAGGCTGGTCAGGCTTGTCTGTTTCCGAGGGCCAGAGAGATGATGGCAGTCCTGTATGCGATCTCGCCATCATACCCAGAACCCTCGCGACGACACCAGGTTTGATTTCGCCAGCCATGCTGGACAGCCTTTCTCGACATCCTTCTAGATATTCTGTCCAGCTGTAACCCACCTCCAGCATTGTATCTGCTAACGAATTTTCCAACTTAAAGCTACACATGGTCGTGACGGGGCGATTGCGGCCTGCGAGGCGACGGGATCTCCGCAGCATGAGGGTGGTTTCTGGCGAGGACCGTGAGGCCTTCTTGCGGACAATGGTTCCGGACGAGGCTGGACCCGGCCACGGGGGGAAAAATCAACTATCCTTATCTCGCGTCTCATTCTTCATTGTTATCAACCGATCGACGATCACGGGCGAAGCACCGAAAAACACAAAGGGTGGATTTATATATATATATATCCCTCTTCTCTTTGATATTTCTGCTCAACTTCAAAATTCACCACATACCATCATTATGGCTTGGATCCCGGGGCATTCGGGAATCATCGGTAATGAAAGTATTCGGGAAATTAAAAAATTTTCTAAGTCCCGCGCTGGAAAATATTTTTCGGAAAATTACCCTTCTCCGATCCACCCCGGACCGATGCGATTATTTTACACTATCGAAGATCGGAAAACTGTACAGACCGAATTTTGATACGAGTTTTAGTTTTCGAGAAAATCCAACTTTTACCTAAGTCGCATGCGTATCTTATATGCATATACGAGTTTTTATGCTTGCTTGAATACATGGGATTCTTGACTTTACTATTGACAGGTTGTATGTCTGATGGTAAAAACAAATCTATGACACATGAGTATCTTAAGTGTATACGCGGTTTTGTTCCTTACATTGTTTTCAGATTGTGCAAAATATTCGGATTTTCGGACTTGTAAAAATTTCGGGATCAATATACCATATCCTCCAGTATGGACCTGGTATCGGAGACTGGAGAGTAGGGTATGATTCGGGAAATTAAAAAATTTTCGGAAAATTACCCTCCTCCGATCCGTAGCGGACCGATGCGATTCTTTTCCATTATCGAAGATCGGAAAACTGTATGGACAGAATTTTGATACGACTTTTTGTTTTCGAGATTTCGGACTTGTAAAATTTTGACGGCATCCACGATAGACCATATCTTACAGTATGGTTCTGGTATCGGAGACTGGAGAGTAGGGTCTGATTCGGAAAATTAAACAATTTTTGGAAAATTACCCTCCTCCGATCCGTAGCGGACCGATGCGATTCTTTTACACTATCGAAGATCGGAAAACTGTACAGACCGAATTTTGATACGACTTTTAGTTTTCGAGAAAATCCAACTTTTACCCAAGTCGCAAAGACCATCTCCTCTAGGATGGGACTGGTATCAGTGACTGCAGAGCAGGGTCTGATCCGGGTATTTCAATTTTTAGTGGTGTGCGCTTGGAGATGTGTATTCGAACCTCGTGTTTTGGAATAAGCAACTGGGATTGTATATTGCAATTTCACTTTGATGAATCGAAAACTTGTAAAATTTTTGGGATCAATAGACCATAGCCTCCAGGATGGGACTGGTATCGGTGACTGGAGAGGAGGGTCTGATTCGGGAAATTAAAAAAATGTCTAATGCCTGCGCTGGAAAATATTTTCAGAAAATTCTCCTCCTCCGATCCACCCCAGCCCGATACGATTCTTTTACACTATCGAAGATCGGAAAAGTGTACAGACCGAATTTTGATACGACTTTTCATTTTCGAGAAAATCCAACTTTTACCTAAGTCGCATACGTATCCTATACAGGGTTATCCAAAAGTCACTGACCACCCCTGTAACTTTTTTCCAAATTAACATAGAAGTTTGAAACTTTGGCAATGTTCCTCGGTCTAAAGTAGCGACTTTTTAGT